TATAAGTAATATTTATAGAATGTTAATAATGATAGATATATTTGTTCTAATTTTGTTTTAAACATTATTTTCGTCCTAAAAAATTTTCTAATCATCTTTATTGTTCAGATAATCATATTTTTTTTTAAATTCATCAAATTTTTATTTTAACTCACTCACTCTATGAAAAATTGGCATTTGGAAAAATTCTAGGTCTTGGTTAACGGAAGCTCTCAATATTTTAACAACCATTTTAATCTGACTGATTAGTAATTTAAGTTCTTCTACAACTTCACAATTTGCTTATAAGTTAATTTTTCTTAATTATAATAGTAATTTCTCATACTTTTCTCTCTCAATATCCAATTAATTTTAATGAAGATTATTACTAGTAATAGTGTCTATTGAAAAATCATTTATAATTTTCATAATTCTTTCAGTAGGTATTAAGGGATCAGTTTCTTCTATGAATAATTCTCCAAATTCCTTTTCTATTAATTCTAAATCTATTCTTTCCATGCCAATCATTTATTCCTCTAGATTTAATTTAAATATAAGATAATCTAAAATTCCTTTTTATATTACTAAATTATTTTAATAGTCTTGTTCAGTAATTTCTAAGTTTCTTAATTCTGCAAGAAACTATTTATAAAATAAACTGTCACAACAAATTATTCTTTTTGGATAATTCTTAAATACATCAAGTAGAAATTCATCTAAATTGATAATTTTTTATAACTCTTAAAATTCTTCTAATGGTATTGTTATAATATTTTAAAAACATTCTTAGAAATTAATTAATTTTAATTTAAGCGTTAAATTTTTCAATCTTTATTGTTGTATACATTTCAATGAAAGCTTGCTAGAATATTTTTATTTAATTTCTTTTAATTTTTCAGTTTTAGAAACAGACTCTATTTCAGTTTTAGAAACGGACTCTATTTCATATTGTAAAATTAGAATTGTCTTAAAGTTTTCAATAAATTCTTAACAGTATTTTTGTAGTTCTTAGATCTGGTCTTCATAATTACAATTTAGGTTATTCAATAACCATTAAAAGTATTGAATTAGGTTATCCTTTTGAAGAAAAAAAATTTCTATCTCTGAAACATATTTTTCACTTTCCTGAATACTAGTTAACATACATTGAGCTTCTTCCAAAAAAAGTTTCTAGTTTTGAGTTGCATTTGGTAATGCAAGTAGCTTCTACTTGAACTAATGGAAAAATGAAAATAATTTATCTATTAGATTTATATGTTTAAATTCTTCCTAAATCAATTCAATCTCTTATTAAAGAATTGTGATTTCATCAGGTTCATTTCTCTTATTTTTAATATCTTAAATTGCTTAAGATAATATTTATTCTACTAGTTTCATCATATACTTAAGATTAAAAAAAAAATTGAATTCATTAATCTATTTCTATTTAAGTTATTCTATCTAAAAAAGTTATTTCCTTTAACTATGCCCAATAATTTTAATAATTTTGAGAGTGTTTTGGAAATATTCTTTAAAGTTGAAAACAATTTATTTTAATTATGAGTTATATGTGGCTTATTCTATTATCTAATTAAAATAGTTATTTTCTTTGTAAAAATTTTGATAATTTTTAACTATGACTCCCAATCTCTCATCATTTTCTTGAATTAATGCTAGTAATTTATTTGAAATAATGAAATGAAAAAATTGTTAAATTTTGCAAATTGCCTCTATATATACATTTTTTTAGGGCTCCATGCTTCCTAACTAAAATTTTAGATAGGAACCAAATGTGAAATGGATATTATCATTTCTTTCCTTCAGTAAGAAGTCTTTAAGCACTATGAAGTTTTCCCATTCTTTGAAAGTGTCTTCTAGTATTAATTTATCAATTTAAGTTAATTATTTATTTGTAAATTAATAAAGCTAAATTAAAGCTTAGTCATCGCTATGATTCATTTAAATTAGAAATCTTTTGTTCAGATATTCCTTCCATATGTACATTGATTTTGCTTCAAGATTGAAAGAGCTCGTTAACTGTTTTAATTGTTTTTTTTTTATAAGAGGATTATATAATAAGATTGTTCCAATCATTTAAATCCACAAATAATGATTTTCCCAATTCCTTGAATTTTTCACAATTTTTTCATGTGTTTCCTCTATTTGTAAGAGTATTTCATACAAATTCTTTTAGCCAGCATTTTTAAAGTTATATATGATTTCCCATTACAACATATCTATTGAAAAATAAACTTCATATTATTATCTATTTTTTTAATTCACATACTGATTGTAAAGCATGCAGACTCCATGAAACAATGATATCAGTAATTCAGCATTAGGTTTCATATCAATTATGGATTAAAAAATGCCATTTAAAAAACCTTTTAAAATATCATTCTGTTCTTTATCATCATTTGGGGCCAATTGAAATGAAGTTTTTGTTAGGAAAAGGTAAAGTTCCAATTAATTTTGAATGAAATCATTCTTCTCTATTTCCATTAATTATTTTAATTTGTCGCAAATATCTAAGAATTTCTATTTTGTTTCGTAGCTCAATTATCTCTAATCATTCCTTATATGGAAACTAAATATCACCTTAGATAGAGATGCTGTAATCTTTAAGATGAATAAGCATTTAAATGAATCCGTTCTGACATAGATCAAACAACTTTCCAATAATTTTAGGATTCCATTTATAATTAAGTCGTATGATTTTACGACCTTTTAGGCATTCTTAATGAGTTTATAAATGTTTTCCTCTTAAAAAATAAACCATTATATGGCTATCATTATTCCTTAAGCTTCTGTTTAATTAGCTGCAACAGCTGCTTTAGTGGAAATCGTTTAGACAAAAGAATCAAATCTAGAAAGGAAATTTTCTTTGTCTTAAATATCAGACTTTAAGGCTATTTCTGTGTTGGGAATTGTTTTCAAAGACCCACAACCACCACCACGTAATAGGGATGTTACTTAATTCAATAGGCCTGTCATTTAATTAAAAATTTAAATATTAAATCAACACCGGTATAAACATGTTTATAAACTATCCTATCTTAATGAATTACTACAAATATAAAAATCTTGAGTTCAATCCCAAATGAGTGAATATTTTTTTTTATTAGTTATTTAATTTAATGTGTTATAGTAGTAATATTATTAATACTAAAATAATTTATAAAATTACATAATTTAAGTTTTGTTACACAATGAATAGAAAATTAATTATCATATTGTTTACATGTTGTTATTATTTTCTCAGAGTAAGGTATTTTATACTTTATGTGAGATAATTAACTTTATTTAATCTAAGGTGAATGCCAATTAATGATCAACATTTTACTTGACAAATTAATGAAAGAACTCGAAAGGTATTCAAATACGATTTAAAATCATTGAACATAAAATACATATAATCGAATATATATCTAGATTTCATATCTATTCATAATACTTCATAAAAAAACTTATTTTGCTTCTTTTTTCTTTATAATTCCTGCATCAAAACACTTTAAAAAATTGTGTATAATGTGTCAGATTTAATATCAGAACATAAAATACCTTTGTGTTTTAATTTAATAGCATCTTTTTTAAGAAAGATTGCTTTAATAACAAGTTACAAAACTTCCTTATATTTTCAAAAATAACTAATTTTGTAAATTTTGTTGAAAATAATGAGGAAAAACGCTAACAATCTTTTATATTTTTTTCATAAGCTTCATCGTTCCTATTGTTAGAATGAGAAATGGAACACTATTATTCTATAATATGGCACCTAATTAATAGTGTGAATTATAAAAAAAGCCTTTATTGTTATGCACTCTATCGCTTAGTCATAAACAACAAAAACTTCTTAGTACCTTAGCAAACTATATAAGGCAACACCTATTATTATTGAAATAATAATCTTTATTAGAACATGCGTACTCATTATTTGGACTTATTCTTAATGTGACATCTATAAAAGTAAAAGCATCAGTAAATATTCCTTAGTTATTAATAATGATGCTCCTGCAATATGATAATGAAATACTCTTGATTATTTTATGCATTATCATTGGATTGATTGATTTATAAGGCTGAGTAATAGCCTAATCGTATTTTTTGATAAAATTATGTGAGTGTAAAGAAATGGCTTTTAAATTGAAAAAAAATTCAATTACCTTTTCAATAATAGACTTGATTAAGATTATAACCAATCCATAATGAATAATTAGAGGCTGCTAATCCTTATTGATATATTTCCTCTTTATCTATAATCTTTAATTATTTAATCGTTCTCCTATAAAAGGGAATAAATGAAACTTTTTTAAACTTCTCTTCTTGTATTCACATTTTAATGAATCTATTAATTAACTTATTAATTATCGTTCCTTGTTAAATTAGTTTAGTCTTCTTATGTAATATAATCCTTTGTCAAAATTCCATGTTTTAAGGGAAATTTATTTCTAGAAATATTTATAAATCAATATTAAATCAAACTGATTTTCATTTAATGATTTTGAGAAAGGTGAAGTTAATTTTTTTTACTAATTTTCTGAATTTGGTTTTATTTTAATTTTCCTTTATAAATATAAAATCAATTATAATAATCTTTCTTTTTTTTGATTATTATATTTTTCCAACTTTAGATAGAATAAGAAATCATTTATGTATGAGTTTTATTAACCAGAATTTACCAAAAAAGTTACAAATTAATTCCAAATTCATTATTATAATAAATTTTTTTTCTTATTTAGTAAATTATGAAATATTTGATCTTAATTCCGTAATTGTACTTCAATATCTTTCCAATTACTAGAAAAGTTGATTTTTATATCAATTTGGTTTATATATTTTAGAAATTTTGTATAATATTATTATAATTTTTCCAAAATGGAAATGGATTTTTCTATTTGCAATCAAATTTAATATTAGTTAGAATTTCAAATTTATAGTTTTTTTCATTAATAATTATACTAGATATTTTCAAATTAATTTAATCTGCGAATAAGGATGAAAAAGGAAATAATTTTATAATATTGCAAATTGATTAAACTTCATCATTGTTTTGTCGAAAAAGTTAATTTTTTTTGAATTCTGAAAACAACGCCAATAAAAAATGCAAAGACTCTATGATTTTTTTATTGTTATTAATTTAATAAATAAGTACATCTAACAAATTGCATGAGAAATTAACAATATTCTTATAAACCCATGTGTGTCACCCTGTAATTAAGTGCTTTAGAATAAGTCTTCGATTTCTAACGGCCAGACTTACATTAATTCTTCAATATCAAGCATAATTTAGAATATGAAACAGATGAAGGTTACTATTTTTTATGCATTTCTGCTACATCAATAATCTGTAATTTCCTTTGGGTTGTTAATTTTTTATAGGATAAATAGTAGTATTTTTTGCCCCTATTTATTACTTTTACATTTCTCTCATCGGTAAATCTAATTTAGGATTGATTTATAGCAGATTAATCCTTCAATTATATATATAATTAGATTACTAATGTAAATAAACCAATTGTCTCAGGTGCATAATCTGGAATAAATGGCTTTAATATTGCATCCAAAACTATTTAAGGAACTTTATATAGTTGTAACTTAAATGAAAAATGGAAATACCTAGCTATAAACTCAAACAATTATTTGACTTCTGCACCTACTTATAAATTTGAATAATCATTTGGAATTTAAGCAACAGGCAAAGAAACCTTTTCTTCTTAAAACACGACACTTTATGCAGCCTATTTGGCTCCCCTAGCTCCAGCTTAATCTAATAGAATAGTAGGTAAACACATACATTAGTCTCATCTTCTTAACCACAGCCAACTTCTTGGTCATCTTCTTCTTTCAATTTAATTGCCTCATCAGAATGTTTATTATGAATTTCCTTCAATTTTTCATCAACATCAAAACCATAATCGTTCTGAATTGATAAGAATAATCTTTACTTTTTACATAATTAGTCACGTTGCAAATTTTTTATATATTTATTGAATTGAAGACTGTAAATTGGTTTAAATAATTTGGTAGTATATATAAATAAAACATAGATTTAAATTATTAATTATA